ACCTATTAGTAGTTCATTTGTTACAGCAGGAACGACCAATTAATATCCAAATTGGAAAAACTACACAGCTTTTTAAAAACATGCAATAAGTCTGAGAAGAACAAAAAATGCACAAAATGCATGGTACTGCTGTCTTTTAAACCCGTTTCTTATATTAGCCATCCCAGTGTGGTCCTTCCAAATGTGTTGGCCTACAACTACTGTCACTCCATGATGGCAGCTGGTTTCCAACAAAGTATACAAAAGTCCGAAGTCATGAGTACAGGGAAGCGGATGTTTATAGGACTGCTTGGAGTGACTGCCGTCCAGGGATTAAGAACAAGGCGGATGGCTTCAGACAGAAAAGCACATGCAAGGTTAGAGAGCAAAGGAGGCTGGGCTGTCACCTGGTTCCGCAGAAGATTAGTCTGAGCTACGAGATGTGCTTGTAGCTTCCCTTGGCACCACTGAGGCGCAGCTTTCTCAAGCAAGGAAACAGGCTGTGTGAAAGCATTTTTAAAACAAAAACAAGAAAACAGACAGGACACCTTTTAAGTTCTTTTTTTAAATCAAACAGTTAAGAGTGTTATAGGGCCAGGCTGAGCCAGTGACCCTGACAATCAGGAGAGAAAAGAAGCATTAAGAGACAAGTCAAGGGTGAATCCTACACAGCATGCCAAGTCTAGCAGTAATTAGCGCTCCACCACATGGTCAAAGAACACCAAGGTCAGCAGAGCTTACGAATACTCCAGCTGCAGAGAACAACAGAAAAGAAATTGTTAGTCATTTAGAAGGCAACGAATTCCACATTTTGGGGGTGGCAAGTTCCTTCTGAGGCAGAGGTAACTTTTTAAAAAGCCAGGATTAATTAACAGACAACATGATTGTTAACAGACATGCAGATTACTCAGTCTTTTCAGCACCTTATTTTAATATTGCATTACATCATGGCCAGTAAAGTCTGCTCATTAAAGTGTATTTAACAGCAGGTTTGGTACAAGGATGTCACAACAGCCAAATCTCCCTGCTGCATCTGCAGTTATATGACCAGCACGTTTTCTAGGTCAGAAGCAGGCAATACAACAGGAAATGTCCTATGTACATTAAGGGTCATCAAATCATTAAAGGGGTTTCCCTTCCTCTGGCCTTACCATGTGCTAGCATGACTGCCTGATGTGAGGAAACCTGCACATGTACATAGCTAACCTGCCCTGAGTCCTGAAACACTGTGCATAAAAATCTTTGTGCATCATCTTCCTCACCTCATATAGCCACGCTGCAATGTGGGTGGTAAGCAACGGATCAGGAGGAACTGATAGAGCCAGTGTGCGGTACTGGTTAAGAGCACGGGACTGGGACTCAGAAGATCTGGGTTCCAGGCCCTGCTCAGCCATGGAGCCAGTCACAGTATCTCAGCTCAGCCTACCTCACAGGACTGTTGCTGTGGGGATAAGACTAAGAGCCGGAAGAGTGGACTGATGTAAGCTGCTTTGAGTTCTTTAAAAAAAGAACAAGGCAGGATATAAATCCAATGAACTAAATAAATAAATATTCTGGGAGAAGCATAACCATACATCCTATTTAGTTTCTCAGTACTCCTTCATACGAGTAAGGCTAAAAGGAAGTTTATATTGCAAATATAGCAGCAGTGGTAGGGTCATAAGGGACGAATGCTGCAGAACAGCAGAAAGAGAAATGTTTTGATAATGATCGTTCCTCCCAATCCAGCAACCCATAACCTTTTCAGCCCCAAGGGCTGCACTGGACATTTGCCTCCATGCCAGGGGCTACACATGTCTATGCACAGGTGCGTGTGTATGCGCGCGCACACACCTGCACATACTGAGGCACCTATGCTCACTCATTCATATTTTCACAAACACACACACACACAAGCACTTCCCCTCAGTTCCACCCCAAAGAGGGTCAGGTCATTTATCTTCAACCTCTAAGAGAGACTGGGGATAAAGGAAAGAGTTTCCCTTGTTAGTTCTAGTGCTAGTTCAAGGGAAATCTCGGGCATTTTGTGAGTTGTGCTAGCACGAAGGAAAGCTCTGGGTAGAGTCCCCCAAGCTCCACAGGCCACACTGGGAAAGTGGCTAAGGGCCACCTGCAACCTATGGGTTGTAGTCCCTGGCCCTAGACAGAAGAGGAATGACTTCCTAGCTCCCCGTGCCTGCTTCCTGTCACAAGCACCATCAAATGCTTCTTGTGAAAAGCTGACATCTGGACAAACCTCACATTCTGAGCATTTTTATACATAAAAATGTAATTGTTTTAATACTTGTATTTCAATCATGGTTTTAGGTAAGCCTTACATCTCCTTTTTTGGTCATATTTTAAAAACAGTATTATACACTCTAAACGATATCAGATTTGTTTAGAAATCAGTTTCTAAGTGCTGTCAGATGATCATCAAGCTCTGAATCCTCATACTGGGCACAATTAGTTATCTCTAGCATACAGAAAATATTTACATGGTCAAAGACTCAGAGTATACTGTATTTGGGGGTTGTTCTGCAGGTCTGAACCTTTGATAAACAAGTAAAATGGGGGTGCCTGGAGAGTCTCATTCCTAGAATGTGCTGAGTTGAGTTGCTCTGCTGCTGTGTGGGAAAAGGGGTAACTCAAAGAAAGTTGTTTGTCCACACAGCAGAGTGACTGTGGGACTGAATGGCCATGTGGCTGATGCCGCCCCCACCACACACACACACACACACACACACACACACACCATATTCAACATTACTAATTGTTTCTCCTGTTCTCCGGAAAAGGAAAATCAGTTTTGAGCAATATTTCCTTCTTTTCCATTGCCCATTTGCATCGTGCCTCTTGATAAACCACAGTAGCACTTACTTCCAATTGAGATGCATAGAATTTTGCTGCACTTCACTTAGATCAAAAATGACAGCCACAGTATGGAACAGAAAAATTATCCCTCAATAATACTACTCCCTTTAGAGAAAAAGGAAGAATACAGTAATCAAGAAGATATTAAAGCCCAGCTGCTAAGTAGATACTGATCTCATACTCATGTTCGTGAGTTGCTTCATCAATAACTCCACAGGAGTGGCCTCACTCCTGAGTAGCTGCATTTCCCAATTGTATGCATTCTTGCATCTCATCTGAAAGGATCTAGGGCAGAGATGGGCAACTCTGAGAGATCCAGAAGCCACTTGCCATCAGCCCCATGCAGACCACACTTCTGCCGCCACCAAACTTCAGCAGTGCCTCCCTTCATCCCCACCCCCCAAGTGGTTTGACAGTGAATTTTGGCCGCAAATTGTGATGGAGATTTAAAAGGGTCAAATGCTGACTGTTTTCAAGATAGATTTGTCCTTTTCAAGCTTCCGTCAAGGTCCACAGCCAATTTTCTCCAGCAAATTACAGATTTCTTTACCACCATATCAACAAATATTGTTGATGCAGGAGTGGTGGGGGTTCTATTAGAGGCTGGGGCGTGCATACAGCCACCCCGATCTACAGATTGCAACAATCTCCTCCAAACTGATGATGAGAATCTGGCTTCACTCTACAACACAGTTTGTCCAAGCAGAAGAAGATGGCTTAGCAAGAAGCCCCCAGTACAATGGTAATTGAGAAAAAAAGGCATATTCCTGGAAAAAGTAGCACTCAGAACTTTTCTCAGAGAGGCTATAAAAGCAGTCTCCATCCTACAAAGCAGCAGTCTCCTCTATCCTCTATTCTTTGCTTAAAGTCAACCTTCTCTAACAAGGGGTCCTACAGATACATTCTACTACTACTCCAGCCTGGGGGATGCTGGGAGATGTAGTTCAACACAGCTGCAGCTCTGGACTGGGGAAGGTTGGGTTAAGAACTTTCATCTAAACATAATCATGTGCACCTGTTGCCTTGCCACTTCTCCAGTAAATGTGAGGTTCGTTTGGGAATATTAATTTTTAAGGCCGAACTAGAGATTGAAAATATATAAATGCAGTATTTCTTCAGACTGAAAATAAGCAGTAATCTTTTCATTAAAAAACAACATTGAGGACAATATCCTAAATCACCTAGTTAAGAAAAGGTAAGGGATCTGTACCTTGGCAATTTTAGTTTCATCTTTCTTCTTCGCAGTCTGTAGAGATTCATAGTGATGCCTGGCACTGTCGTAATCTACAAGTTTCCTTCCTCGCTTAGCAATGCGAGACTGAAGCAGGGTAGGGGAAGGGGGGAGAGGGAAAGAGGGGGGGAGGGGAGAGAGAGAAAGAGAGAATTACTAAATACCAGAGCCATGTATTTTAATGGCCTAATAATCTTTACAGTCTTATGCATTCTGCTCAATATGCCAACAATCTGTAATGGTCTCAGAGCCAACTTGTTGAATCATGTTTAGGTGGCCAGACAGGTGATATAAATTCATCCTTTTGCTCAGCAATTGTGGGAAAACTACACACACACACACACACACACACACACATATATGACTGATTTACTACATTCTTAGACTCTTGATGCACACCACCACCAAAAGCGCTTAAACAAAGGTGGAAGGCTGGCCATGGCCATTCAATCCATATGATGAATAGGCTAGTTTTTAATCACTTAAAATATGCATAATAAGTTTGTTTCTTCCTCTGCGTCTCACTCTGTATCAGACGTCAGCATAAACTACTCCAAACATGAGTATATTTGTGACAGATGTTCAAGGTTTCCCTTTAATCTTTTGTGAAAACGAGCTGCTTTTTAGTAGCTGCACCCAGGCTGTGAAACTCCAGGCCACAAGAGATTAGGTTTTTTCCCTCTCTGCTGTCCTTTTAATTCAAGCAATTCCTTGATGTGTAACAAGGTTTATTGGGCTGGAGGTTGTTTTTATTCTGCTACAGTTGTGCTTTTAATTTTAAGGTTTTAATGCATTTGTTTTAAATACTGTTTTAATCAAAAGAATCATTAAATTATTATTGCTTTAAGCAAGTTTTATTTATAATTATAAGCTTTGAGTTGGTTGAAAGGCAGTGTACAAATCAAATCAAATCAATAAATACACATATAGCGTTTCAGAGAAAATTTCAGGATATATTTACCAATCTATTTGAGAAAGATTGTTGCTGTTAGTTGCGAAGTTATGTCTGACCCATCGCGACCCCATGGACAACATTCCTCCAGGCCTTCCTGTCCTCCACTATCCCCTGGAGTCCACTTAAGCTCACACTGCTTCAGTGACTCCATCCAGCCACCTCATCCTCTGCTGTCCCTTTCTTCTTTTGCCATCTTTTGTTCCCAGCATTAGGCTCTTCTCCAGGGAGTCCTTCCTTCTCATTAGGTGGCCCAAGTATTTGAGTTTCATCTTCAGGATCTGGCCTTCTAAAGAGCAGTCAGGGTTGAACTCCTCTAGGACTGACCAGTTTGACTGCCTTGCAGTCCAAGGGACTTGCAGGAGTCTCCTCCAGCACCACAAGTCAAAGGCCTCAATCCTTTGGCACTCAGCCTTCCTTATGGTCCAAGCTTTCATATTCATACATTGCAACTGGGAAAACCATAGCCTTGACTATACACACTTTTGTTGGCAGGGTGATGTCTCTGCTTTTTAGTATTCTGTCTAGATTTACCAAAGCTCTCCTCCCAAGGAGCAAGCATCTTAATTTCTTGGCTGCAGTCACCATCTGCGGTGATCTTGGAGCCCAGGAAAATAAAATCTGTCACTACCTCTATTTCTTCCCCATCTATTTGTCAGGACTGGATGCCATGATCTTAGTTTTCTTAATGTTGAGTTTCAAGCCAACTTTTGAGCTCTCCTCTTTCACCCACATCAAGAGGCTCTTTAGTTCCTCTTCACTTTCTGCCATTAGTGTGGTATCATCTGTATATCTGAGGTTGTTATTATTCCCGGTAATCTTAATTCCAAATTGTGATTCACCTAGCCCTGTCTTTCACATGATGTGCTCTGCATATAAGTTAAATAGGCAGGGCGACAATATACAGCCTTGCTGAACTCCGTTCCCAATTTTGAACCAATCAGTAGTTCCATGTCCAGTTCTCACTGTTGCTTCTTGACCCTCATACAGGTTTCTCAAGAGACCAATAAGAGGGTCTGGTACTCCCATCTCTTTAAGAACTTGCCACAATTTGTGGCCTAGTTCATAGAGCTGGGCAAAGTTCAGATGGGATAATTTCATATACACTGCAGTGGGCTTTATGGAGGAAAAGCAGGATAAATTGTTGTAAACAGACACTGTGATAAAACTATCAGAGACTTAAGAATAAGAACATAAAAGTCATAAAGACCTATCTGTCCTGTTTTCCACTGTGGTTCATTAGCACTCTTCTGCTTGTGTACCTCAGCAATTTGTACTAAGAGGCACCACCAAGCTATAGCAGGGGCTGCAATTCACACACAGAAGGTCCCAGATTCAATCCCCTGCTTCTCTAGGTAGAGACAGAAAACGATCCTGCCCAGAACTCTGAAGAGTCATTGCCAGTGATACTGCCACTACCACAGTACTAAGCTAGATGGACCAAGGGTGTGACCCAGCATAAGGCAGTTCCATATGCTCTTATTCCTTCTTCTGCTAACAGGGGAAATATATAGCCATCTTGACTAGCGGCCATTAATGGCTTTATCCTCCACACCAGCAATTTTAAAAAAGCATGCAGTTACTGATACCTGCTGAGTTCCAATGAAATAAAGCAGTTACAGGCAAGTCATTGGCGGCAACAATATCCCACACTGTAATGTACTAAAACTTACACAAATGGTATGTGGGGCAGAACAGGCATCACAGTTTTTCAAACAAAAGCAGCTGTAACAGTGCAGGAATCATGACATGGGCAACTACTTATAACAACAGATCTTGCAGCCTTAGCCCATGCTGCCCAAGCAACTTCTGCACATTTACCACACTTTAAACTGCATGAGTAGGACACACAAAACAGCTAGATGAAGCAGATTGTGCTTCTGCCTTTCAGTCAATGCACCAAACACAGAAATTACACCTTCACCTTTTCTTGGTGTCAGCTGTGACCGGCCCCTACCAGTTTTGTTTCACATCTGAGGCAAGCTAGCTATATGTTTAATTTCCTACTAAATTACAGGACTTAATCAACCCTAGAAGTTGATCAACATGAACTAGCATGGGTCTAACAGGAAGCAACGTTAAATGGGATGTTTACACATTTATTTATTTAAAACATTTTTTAAGGGTTGCTTAAACATTAAGGGTTGCTCAGCTTCTGTATCTTTCAGAATATACAGAAATGTTAACATACAATGTCAACTATATTGGAAAAAGCACTATTGGACACAATTAGTTTTTATATTTACTGAAAGACATGCACAGAATTTTCTGTCCCAGGGCAGCATACAAATGTTGTAAATAAATAAATATTTGGGAGTATACATGGAGACAGCTGTTATAAGACAAGCTGCTCCAGACCACTGAACATTTGGATTACTCCTTTTTGTACTTTTTCCAGCTACACAATTTCCTTTTTGCAACACAGAAATGTACACAGTATTCCAGATGCATTAATACTATAGATCTGTATAAAGTCATTACCGTATTGGCAGATTTATTTTTCATTCTTTTCCTAACATGGAATTGGCTAATTTCACAGCTGTTATACACTGGGTTTTCAGTGAACTATCCACCATGACTCCAAGTTCCCTTCCCCACTCAAATCTTATCAATATAAACATGAAATTCAGAATTATGTTTTGCCTTTTCCCACAAATATATCTCCTGGAGTCCACTAGGTTCCTAATCCTTCCTGTTTTTTATTTGACATAGATTCCTAAAAATCCTTAAAAAAAATAGGAGATTGACATGCTGCAAAGCAAAGTACTGCTCACCAGCAACATTATCTGGGTTTATAGGGCGGGTTTGTGTTTTGGAGCTTACACTCCTTCCTCTGCCAGATTCCTGGGTAAATTGCTTTTATTTTATTCTCAGCAATTTGCCTTTTGCCTTTTGCCTTTTGGCAAATTAGTGTTTGTTATTAGTGTTACATACCCATCACTACAACACTTTAGGAATACGCAAGCCCATTCATGGCAGCAATTTTATGACAGTGCCCACAATATCCTCTCAAAATTCAAACTGTGCCCACCAAACCAAATTGTACTTATTCACTCACTCTGTTGCAAACCATAAAGGTCAGGCTCAGAGAGGCTGGAAGGGTATCTCTATAGCAAGAAACTATTAGAAACAGCTCTGCCTTCACTTCTCTGCCCTTCCAAAACTGGCATAGATTTTGCCATTTTTTTCACAAGAAAAGTTGTTCACACCAATATCAAATGTGGCAGAATATGGTAAAGAGAGAACAAACATCACATCTGAGAGTTAGACTCTGCTGTCCAAAATGACTGCTATTCTTTTGAAATAATTGGTGATATTTTGGGAACAGAACAACTGGCATGAAATATTGCATTTGCCAAGCCTAACAGACCATGTAAACAGTTCAAGGGATTACACAATGTCCTTTCAAACATGTGTGGCTTTTGTTACATCCCTGCCCCTGTCTGTACATTATGCTCTCACTCCCTCCTTGCCTGCCAGATAAACTGAACTTGGTTTTATCTTTTGTTTAATTAAAGTTCCACTTCAGCTCTGAATGAAGCCACTGGCATCTTTCAACAACTCAGTCACATTAAATCACTAGATGAATTTCAGATGCCTCTATCAAGAAAGTCCTTTCCTGTTAAGAATTGGGCTTACATCCACTAAGACTACTAGAAAGACTCATCTGCTAATTTACGGCGGATATTGTTCTTCCTTGACTGTCTGAGAGAGATAGATTTATTTGCAACTAATGGTAGAGAGCCGGTAGGATGGAATGGAGAGACTACCATACTTGGAAAATCACTGGCTATCAAACTAACTTACCTCAGAGAGTTGCTGTGTTGAAAAAAATGGGTAAGCCCATGGAGTGCCTCTCCTGAGGAGGACTGATGAGCAATATGAAGAGAGTGCCAAAATTCTGGGTTGAAAGGGCTTCTAACAGAGCAATCCTACATATGTTTACTTGGAAGGATTCCTACTGTGTTCAGTTGATCTTATCCCTGGTTAAATGTATACATAATAATGTGGTGAGGCTCAAGTCCTATGTGCATTTGCATCTATTTGCAAGGTTCTCCAGTTCTTTATCTTCTTACAAGAATCCTGTGAGGTAGGTTAAGCTGAGAATAGAAGTCTGCTTGTTTGGCTCAAAGTCACATGCTGAGCTTCATGCGTAGTGGGAATTTATACCAAGATCTCTCAGCTCCTCATCTGAAACTATAAGTGGTTTCTAACCTCGGATTCCCAGATGTGGTTGGAGTGCAAATTCTATCATCCCTAGCCACCATGGCCAATGAGGAGCCAAGGTGCACTATCCAGGTTTGAAAAGTTATCCTTTAAAAATTGGTCATATTTAATTCTGCACAACTGCATTTTGAAACAAGGTTTCCACCCAAGTTGACTGTGTGGACACCATCTAAAGAAAACAAAGACATTTGTATGCAGCACTGTAAGAGAGCCAGCGGTCACAAGGATTCTGCACTGGAGCTTTTTTAGCAGGGACCCTGAAATTTGCCACCTGTGTCAGAATTTCCTGTTCCCTGTGAGCTGGCCTGCATTCCTCACAGAAGCTGGCAGGTGAGTGAATTTTCCCAGCAAAAATATGTTGTTCTTTGTTGTAACACATAGTATTTTGGCCTGCCTTTGAAGACACATTAGCTTTTCAAAGAAGTTGCTTCAAGTAGATGAAAATTTCACGCATCTTAGACTCTCCTTGAGGCTATGATTACAAGAATGCCATGATGAGCACCTGCACTTCAAAGTTTACCACTGCACCCCTTCTCACTTGTAATGTAAGTGTGATACACACTCATGCAGATTTGCAATCATACCTATTTCTCCATGTATGGTTGCAAATCAACTAGTGCACAAGCACCAAATGGATGGAGATGCCCTCTGCCTCTATAGCCTCATTTCTGTCATTTATAGTCCGTTATGAAAAGGACACTCTTCTTAATTCTGCAACACTACTGCTGAGGAAATCCTGGAGAGCAGTTACCCACTTCAGCTCACAAAAAAAGCTGCCATCAGAAGTCACTGATGTAGCTGCTTGAAATGAAATGGGGAAAAATGCATGCACACACATGTATGATTTCCTTCAAACATTGGATAAGTGCATGAGAAAGAGAGCACAGCTTGGTTTTGTCTCTCTTCTGGGATACAGCAGAAGGGGGTTAAACAGGGTGTTTGATTTCACTGGGACAGGGCCAAGCTGACCTTTTCTATGTGAGATCATAGTTACAACAACTGCCATATGGAAAGTATATTTCCTCTTCAGCCTTCTCCAAAACCATTTCATGCCTGGGAGGGGAAAGCTCACAGGATAGCATTTGACGCTTGGGAGGGAAAAGCTCTCAGGATGGGACTGCCACTCTCCCTAGCAGATAGTTATGTGCATATTAAAAAGAATTTTACCAGATGCAACCAATCCCTAGAAGTGCATTACTGGATACCTTATGATTAAGTTTCCTTGGCAAAAGAAGGCAGTTTGAAGGGGAAGGCACAAAAGAATAAAGAGTACAGGCTTTCAACCTAAATAGACAGGAAAATCTCATGCAATGACAAAGAGGATCATTCAGCCGCAAAAGCCACTGTGTATGGCATTCTGTCCTTCAGCTATATGAACTGTTTAAACATGCCTATCAATTCCATTAAAAAAGAAGAGATTTCTCAAGTGAAACTGCATAAACAAAATTAAGATTTACAAAGATTTATTACTCCACATGCACATCTTTGGTTCTTGTAATACAGAATTTGTGCTGACTGAGAACATTTGTGCATAAAATATACAAACTCTCTTGCTACTCTTTTTTTCTTTTCTTTTCTCTTTAAAGAGCAACAGGAAAAAGTCACCACTTCATTATTGGACTATTTTTGCTTTGAAAGCTCTGAGAGATGAAATGGGAGGAGGAAACACTCAATGGGTCTTGTGTCCAGTTTGGGCTAATTTTATATCAGCTTCAGGCCAAGAAATAATAAAAAAGCAACTGCTGCATTCCACAGCCAGAAGCCGGACTTTGATGCCAAAAAAATCTATCAATAAGAAGAGAATGAAAGGAAGAAATGATAAAATCAAAAGTGGTTGTGTACTTTGAGAGGCCTAGTAGTAAACAGACGAAGATCAGTTAACATTCACCAGGAAATTGGGCAAGAAAACGATTTTTCATCATACTGAATGATGCTTCCTGCTGCAACATTCATTCTATGGTTTTGGTAAGTACCACATCCTAGATAAGATCAGTTTAGCGCCTTTCATAACTGCATTTTATAAGAAACTGAAGGCTTTGTTTTGAGGCTTTTAACTTGTACAACAAATTTAAAGCCACTGCTGTCATATTATTGGGATGGAGGTGTTACACATTTTTAATCTCACTGCTGTTAGGAGTTCATTGTTAAAGTATATACTGAGTGTGAGGTTTTTTTAAAAAAAATGCATGCAGTAATCCCAGGTATTTGAATACTAGGCACACATTATACTGCATGCAGTGCACTACCACAGCTACCATCATCATAATCATCTTAGCCGTAGCCACACTTCAAGGAAATGCATGGTGCTGGACACATTCTGCACAGTAATTATCTTTAGCCCACTCCCAGGCCAATTTTGACAGTTGAAGTTCCCTTGTTATCAGGCCCTTTCTTGAATGCAGTCAGCTAGAGGGTATAGCAAGGGGCACGCTCGCTCACCTCCAGCTCCAAGTGCCTCTCCCATCATGTTCTTCTGACTCCCTCCGCTGTTTATGCACTGGGGGGGCAGGTCTGAAGTGCAGAGCTTGCTGTATATTTCTTGGATCCCCAAACAATTTAGAGCATGAAATCACATGGTGAGGCTCTGAAGGTATAGCAGCCTCCTCATCCCAAGCTTCTTTAGCAAGGGGAGCTAGCAGGCACAGGGCAGCAAGGAGAAGGCCAGCAGTTATGGCCCTGCTCTCCACTTCACGCAAGAGCACTCCAGAAAACACACATACGTGAGAGTTACATCCCGCACAAGGAGGCTACATGGCTCAGGTGGGTATATGTGAGCCCATGCTCCACCACACCCTTACTACACCAGGGTGGATAACATGTGACCCTCTGTGTTTGGACCTACATTTCCCATGATGTCTCATTGCTGGCTATGCTTGCTAAGGCTGATAGGAGCTGTTGGCCCAAATATCTGGTGGACCATTGGTTATTGGACTTGCTGAACCTAAGCCTAATGTCCTTTCACCAATCAAGCCTTGTTTCTATGCTACAGTCCAAACCAGGCAAAGTAATTTTCTGCGAAGAAATTCATGTCTCACAGAACCGTTTTTTGATTTACAGATACATTTTCAATTTCAATTACGTTTCCTAATTTTCAAAAAGGAATAGAAAAAGTAATATAGGAATGAAGTGAGCCCCATACTTTTATGTCTGGGAACTGGCCGAGGTAGGTGTCCATGGTTAGCAGTGCCTGATCCACCAACTTCTGGTGGAAATCTGTCCACAGCAGGTCATTGTTCTAGAACAGAAGAAGAATCCAGCAATCAAGTTGGCAGCAACAGTGTAACTGTAGTAACATTTCTTAAGTAGGTTCTATGAGTAATTTCATAACATGATGAAAGGCAAACTCAAACGTGCCTTCAAACATATGCTTTCTTAACAATTATTTTTAGATTGTACATGTTCCACCTTTTTCTGCTTGTGAGGAACCCATCAGTTTACATCATTCCCCTCTGCTCTGTTTTATCCTCACAGCAATGAGGCTGAGAGTGCAAAATTTGCCCAAAGCGCCCCAATGACTTGGGGTGACTTCATGGCTGAGAGGGAACTGGAATCCAGATCTCTCTGGTCCCCAGTCCAACACTCTACCCACTACACCCACAACAATGAACTGCAGCCAGTCACAAAGCACTAATTGATGAGGCTAAGATATAAGTCCTCAAACACACCTACTTAGGAATGTAGATACAAAAACATGTGGACCTAACCTTATCATTCACTTTTTTGATACAGTTCCTATAACCTTAAGAGCCGCAATGATCTGCAGAAATTAAATAAGCAAAGAATCCCTCTTGGCTGCATCTCCCATGCAGTAAGGTCAAGCTCTCCCTCTTAATTGTGTGCCTGCCATGCAGTAGTTATAGGCACAAAAGATGTGTCAGTGAATATAAAAGGCCTGCCTAGCTATTCCTTCTTCTGCAACTCATATAGCTTGATCTTTGCTTATGGACAAATGCCCCAAGCCCACACAAGTACAGTAGCTAGGAAATAGCACAGAAATGGTCAGTACACTGCTCTGTTAAGAAATACTTTTTGTGGAACACGTCAGATCACACAAAGGCCTAAAACATTCCATCCCATTTCATACGTGATACCAAACCAGTCTTCCCCAACCTGGTGTCCTAAAGATGTTTTGGATTTCAACTCTCATCAGGTCCAAATAATGGTTAGAAATCCTAAGAACTGCAGTCCAAAACATCTTGACTGCTCCAAATTTGGGAAGCCTGGGCTTAACCATAGTTAAGCATTATGTGACTTGGGCAATTTAAGCCTCACACTTGCACACGGTCTCTCCTCCTTTCCTGGTATAACCATGAGAAACAACTTGGAAGCACCAATCTCCTGGCCAGCACTAACCACAATATTATTATTATTGTTGTTGTTGTTGTTGTTGTTGTTGTTGTTGAAACAACAGTACATTTCAACTGTGGCTTATTGAAACAACTGTGGCTTATGATCTGGCTTGTTTCAGCAATCTATAATTCAAATGAATCACAGGTTGCATTTTTTGGACAGAATGACAAACTATGGTTGACATTAAAACAGATGTGGATGCTTCCAGTCCCCTTACTTTGGCCATACTACATGCAGGGTGGAAGAGATGAACAGGCTTGTTCATGTAATGTCAGACATGAACAAGCCCAAACTGAACTATTGGGCTATACATTCCAAAATCAAATGATAATAACAGCCCCCATGGGATGCACTGGAGATCATCACACACAAGTGATGTTAACTCATGCTAGAACAGAACCTCACCTCTGCTATTTTGTTAGTATCATCTCTTCCTGGCCAGTCCGGCTCATACACTTCTTGCAAACACTCTGTCAGTTTCTTGGAGGCCTCGTGCATTGCTTGGAGATAGAAAAGAGAGACTCCAAATTTTGAATGACACAGTAGCATCCCACAAAATACTCATCCACAAGAGGAAGAAGCAGAAGAATGGACTTTGCTCACTGAACAAATTCCCCATTCCAAACCCATTGTAATACTTAGGATGAGTGATTTTCTAGGCAAGGAAAACAGAGGTTAACATAAGAACACCACAAGTACCTGACCACTGGCTTTAACACTTGGCATCTAGTACGGGCAAACAAGAGATATAAAACATACCTGTTTAAGAATGGTATTTTTTTAAAAAATCTTTCTTTTGGTAGTGGCTCATTTGCAATTTTGAATTTTTTTTTTTTTTTTTTGGAGGGGGAGGATAGTACTTTCCAAAGCATTTCCTTTGCTGGATTTTTTAAAGCACTGAATTTTTCTCCACCTAATTGTAAAATATTGGTGAACATATACTTGAGAGTTCCCGTTGATTATACCATTAATCAGGATCAAATCATATGTGTGCTTTTTAAATTATATGAGCAAAATTACTATAAAAAGAGAAGTGAGGAAGAGTTCCATCAGGGAAAGGAGTTTCCACTTGGGACTGTTTGTTCAAACTACCTTTGAATCATGAAACCTAGGGTGTTTAAAGAATTTGCCAGTTACTAGTCAGTGCCTAATAGACCAAAATCCTTGATATCAAAGTCATGTATTATATACTGTGGTTCTGTAACAGATACCCAAGGGATGGGTAGTTTTCTTCATTGGGTTGCATACAGTGTTGATACTACTTAGAGCAGACCTGTGAAAACGACTAGTGCTTATGTTAGACTAACACTGAATACAAGCTTATGTTAAGTAGGAGTTGCCCATGATAGATACTTGCTGAACTCCATTAAAATTTTCTAGAGGTAGTTGCCCAAATTTAATACAGATGGTAGAACCCTGAAGCCTAGATAACCACATGTTGTCATTTACCTCACAGAAGATTTAATAAATGCTGTTTTCTAGAGTCACAACTATTTTTCCAGGCTTTACCTTTTACCGAAGCCAGGTATGTCCGGAGATCCTTCTGCAGCTTACTTCCTTCTGACTAAAAAGACAGAGAACAGCACAAGTGAGAAAGCTATGCAGCTGCAAAAGTCAATAAACTCAAAAGGCTCAATTTAAAGTACTGGTGTTGTTCTTTAAAGCCCTAACCAGGGGTGACCAGGTGCCTAAAGGACTGCCCTCTTCCATACAAACTTGTTGGGGTCACTGGCTAATACCGGTGCCCTATTTAGGAAACACTATCCTGAGAAATACTCTAGATCCTCCTCATTTAGATCTCTTTATTCTCCAAGGTTTTAAATTTTATTTATAAAATTATTTCTTCTCCACCACTCAGTACTTACAGCCTCCACCCACCACAGCTTATTTTCATACAAGTATAAAATGCTGATTGCCAGTAAACACAGAGCATTAAAACAGACTCATACTAACATGTTGACAGCAGAGACATAAAAACATGTCAACAGCATGTACAAAATGCATGACAAGACAGACAGCTTTCCTAATTTACTTACACATAACACATGCACACACACTCAAAGGGACAGGATTAATGAAACCTCTCTGTGAAGAAAGGTTTGAAGAAAAACGTTCAACATATGCATACATATTCAGAGAATATTCAACATCAATATGTTTCTACGGTGCTGAAACAACTCTGGGCGGCCCAGTTCTCCCAGCTGTCTCATCAAATCTAGCTGCTGCACAGCATAAGAAAGTAAGAATTGTCGCAGGCCTTCTCTCACTTCTCTTGCTTACTGTTTGGTTACTACTTCAGAGTAAGACATCTGAGAACTACAACTTTAACGTCATTTACTGCAGACACCACTAGGTGTTGGTCAGTCAAAGAAGGGCCCCAGTTTGCAAATGGAATGCAAGGCTTTCATAGGAATGCAGGTCCTTCCAAATGCTCCACTTCTGCCAAAGTTCTAGTGCCATTCTGATAAGGAGAACTTCTCTTTTTCACCTTCTTAATGTATGTCTCTGAAGAAAGTACCAAGGAAAGGATATCTTCCTGGTTGCTCTTTCACAACTATAACTAAGCTGGTATGGAGTTTTCCTACTGACACCAAAGTAGCTATATAATTTCTAAAGAGAGGAGGCAGGAAAGGGTTGTAATTCTGATAGTCTATTCATATATGACACTATATTTCCATTTTCGTTTGCTCTCATAAAGGGACTTTAAAGAAAGGAAACACACAGAACATCTACTTCAGAAGGTACCAAACTCTGAGCAGATGTTTCCCGTCATGATCCCCTTCTCTCTTACAAATGCTCATCCCAGAAATATCTGCTTCTTTATCTTTATCCTGTGCTTTCTCAGCTACTGTGGCTATGCTACTGGAGCTGCTAGGCTCTAAGAGCTTCACTTGATGTGACACAATCTTCCCACCTGCTGAACTAGCAAAGCTTCCTTCAAGGAGGAAGTTGTCTAAGGAATGATTTGCTACCAGCACTCCACCCTGTTCAGTCCAAGTAACAAAGCAAAGATGGACTTGGGAAGCACAAACACAGTGAGCATATATCATTAAGAGTAATGTCCATTATTTATTATATAATAAGGCTAATATGCCAATTTTCTTTCATCTAGGAAGGATGCTGATGCTTACCTCTCACGAGGCAGGCACTACAAACCGGATGTCACAAGCTACAATGTGCTATGAAGCAGTGGTCCACCATGGACAACCATATCCATCTCAATGTCCAATCCACCTCAGGTAAATTTTAGGTTGGTAAGAAATGGTAAGAGTTTATGAATAGGTGTTTAGGCAGATGTAGTGTTGCTGCCTGTAATATCCTGTGAGCTGCAGAAGTACACAGGGATTCTTCTGTTATGCAATCATCATCTATCTTTGATGAAACATGACACCTCAAAGAGTTGGCTAGTGTTTCCACCCAATATTTACAAAGAAAGGAAAAGAGCAGGAAGGATAAGGTTGTTTACTCAATCCCAACAGGGCTCAGTTTATTCCTCAGAACAGAAGATTTGCTATTTTAAGGAATATATTCCCTTTCCAGAAAACTTCCACAAAGGTGAAGCTTATCATCCTGCAGACCATTATGCCTTTGAGGTACAATGTATATCTCAAATAAGAATGAGGGCTGGACGGGAGGAAGAGACTGGCCTGGTTCACACATGATGACAACCTAGACTATGAACTATGGTTGATGTTGAACTGTAAGTTGTTATCATATGCAAACCCTGCACTATGGTTTAACTACAGCTTGTTAACCACAACCAACCAGGTGAACCAAAGTTTTCTTGTTGGGCTATAACTATGGGTTGTTCAGGCTTAACAACCCAGAGTTAAAGCATAGTATAGAGTTAGGAATAACAATAATAATCACAACTCACGACTCAACAGATCCATGCTTCAACACTGAAAGCCAGTGTGCTTTCCCGGTTAAGAGTGCTAGACTGGGACTTGGGAAATCCAAGTTCTAGTCCCACCTCAGCCATGAAGCTCACTGGGTGACTTTAGGCCAGTTATGGACCCTCAGCCTAACCTACCTCACAGACTTGTTGTTGTTGTGAGAATAAAACAGAGAGGAGAACTCTGTAAGCTCCCTTGAGTTTCTTGCAAGAAGAAGAAGGGGGAGCATAAATATAATGAATTGGTAGTAATAGTAATAATATCAACAACAACTCACAATAAAACAACAACCCACATTCAGCCCATACTCTTGGTTTTCATTTCATGTGAACCAGATCACTCCCGCTGGAGAGGAGAGGAGAGGAGCTATTCTTCTGTTCAGGAGGAGCTGTTTCCATGCTCTATCTAATTTCTCTGCCAAAAAAAAGTTTTATCAAGGATTATTCCTAGCATTTTGTTCTTTCCTCTTCCACGGTAGAACCTGAGTGGTGCCTCGCTCAACCCCAGCTCCCTTGGTATATCAAAAGAACATGCTGGGAAATATTTTTAGCATCAAATCTTTCCTCGACAACACCCACAAGAGGGAATATCTGCATATGCAGCACACCTGCTCTCTGCCAGCAAACCAAGAATGCCTCCCTCTTCAATTGGACCTCTTAAGCTGCTCCAGATGTAGCTACACCCAGAAAGCACAGTGAAGAAACTGCTGGTGTTTTGTTAGTAATGCTGCAAACAGCACCATTATTAATCCTCAATCAGTACTGAGTACACTTCAAATCAGAAAAATATATAGCTGTTGAAATGCACAATATGTATTTTATGTATATATATGTGTGTGTGTATATCGTGCACATTTCAGCAGTTCGGGCGCTCCAAATGCATCCCCTCAAAAGTGTCTGCCTATTTAGAACATTTATATACTACTTATCATAATACACATTCTAGAGCAGGTACATTGTTGTTACGTGCCGTCAAGTTGTCTCCAACTTATAGCAACCCTATGGCAAAACAAACACATGCAATACACAGAAAAAAAAACCACAAAGAGAAATTTAAAATTACAGAGTGAACTGTATAATAAAAAACAGTGTTTGAAAAGAAAGTAAGCAGTAGTTAAAAGCGTGGGACAATAAGAAAAACGTTTGACTGGCGCCTGAAAAATAACATGGGAGGAAATTTTGTAACTGGAATATCGAATTTGAAAAAGCCCTCTCCTTGGTCACCATCTGTCTAATGGTGAGGATATCCAAAAACAGCCTTCATAGAAGATAGTAACATCTGGGCAGGTGGATGCAGGAGTAGCAGCCTATGTTTATCAACTATTTTAAAAATTCAAACATTGACAAGAGCCACTGCTTAGACAGTAGTGTTTTTATAAGTTTGCCATGTTTATTTATTTACTTGCTTGCTTGCTGCCTATTCCTTCCAAAGAACTCAAGGAAACTTACATAATTCTGTTCCTCCTCTCAATCTTAACGTCACAACAACCACCATGGGAGATAGGTTGGGCTGAGAGTCTGTTACTGTCCCAGAGTCTCCCAGTGACCCCATGGCTGAGTGGGGATTAGAACCCAGATCTCCTGAGTCCCAGTCCTGGGCTCTTATGATGAGCTTTGAACAGAACAATGGCTAAAGAAGCTGAGCTATGCCCTGAACAGCCTCAAGCCCCTGCCCCCACTACCGTCACCATCTGCAACACTGGGATGATAATTGTGACCTAACTCATTAAGATGGGACTAAAGATTTCTACAGAACACTATAGACCACAATGCAAGCACAGACCACAGAATTCCACAGAGCAATATACTGCGAGGCAGATCCGATGCTGAGGTTGCTAGGAAGCTCCTTATTTCCAGTCAACAGCTTGTTGTGCAAGATTTTTGCAGCTGCTTGTATGATCCCTAAAGATATTAGATGCAATGTTTTAACATTTTAATTTAAAAATGGAATGGGTAATTTCAAACAATTTCATACTATATGTTTATTGTTACTTTGTCTAATGAATAATTGGAATATTTTAATCTAGGGTGTCATTGTAAATTGTCTATCAAGAATGAGCTGGTTGCTGACCATGATAAACTGTTGTCACAGAGCAATAGGCAAGCATTAGCTCTCCACATGTTTAGAATTCTGACTCCCAGCATGCCAGGCAGGGTCAGCAGGAGTTGAAATCCAAAAAATCAGGTCTTAATGTTAATTATTAGGAAGGCACCAGATTCAGGAAAGCTGAACTGGGCACAGTTCATACATTTCACTGTAACCGCTCTCAACAGCCAATAGCGCTTATTCGTTACATTATGAATAAGCAAGTGCAAATGGGGCAGCTGCAGATAGAGAGCTCATTATGGCAGCAGCAGTGGGGGATGTTAAGAGCCAAAGAATCCCAAAGAAAAGATGGCCCAGCTAGTGCACTAAGCTAGGCCCAGTTTCGGCTCACAAGGTTCCCAATTCATGCCTGGGAATTCTAGGTATTTCCCTCTTTGGGGAAGCACCATAGTGATAGGGCAACTGCTTTGCATTCAGGTCTTAAGTTCAAATGCCAATTAAAGGGCTCAGGTTGCAGTGGATGGGAAAGGCTGTTCTGAGACTCGAAGTGCCACTGCCAGGTCAGTGTCAACAATATTAGATGGGCCAATATCTGACTTGGTATAAAGCAGTTTCGTATGTCCAGCAATGATAAGAGAAGAGTTTCCCAGCATGCTCTCCTGCCCCTTAGTTCAGACATAACTGGCAGTTTCAAGGGTAAAATCAAGTACTTTATAGCCAGAGAGTAGAAGTAAAGAAAAATGTAGTGGCTTTTAAAATGAATATTCTACTTTATTAATATAAAGACTCCCACTTTTTCCTGACCACTTCTCTCTGCTCTACAAGTTTGCTCCAATTAGTGCAAGAGATCAGTGCAAATGACAGCCAGCTTTCATTGCCATTGCCCCTATAACTTTTGGAGCAACCTCAGATCTGCTTAGCACCTAGATGGTCTGGCTCAGGGCCATCTTAATGCATGGGCCTGATGGGCACTTGCCCGTGAGCCCCATACTAATCTGTGTATGTTAAGCCTTGGAAAATTGGAAAACTTCCAAAATTAACAGTAGTTGTAGTGTAGGGGCCCCAGTACACTGCTTTGCCCGGGGCCCATAACGCTGTTCCTAATTAGCTCTGGCCCAATTAGGTCTGCATATTATCTCCTCCTTGCTCCATCTTAGCATATCTGCACCCACGACTGGGGTGGAAGTGCTGTTCTCATCACTCCATGCATACTTCTTTCAACTGAACATCTAATCTGAAGAGGCATTCCAACTCAACACGAAAGCTTCCTTTTCTCAATGCTTTGTGACATTGCAGTGGATCCTAATAAACAGTGTTGACACAACTATTGATGCGGGGGAGGGGGGATCTGTTGAGAAGTGGGGTGTTCTAATGCCAAAAGGGGTAAAAGGAAGCATTTGGCCATATGCAACTTTTGCCTGCTGTAATAAAATGAGTAGGCTATTCTTAGGAAGTAGTGCAAAAGAGAGTAACTTAATACAGGTCATCGGAGGAGGAAAACTCCTCCTGACCATCCCCCAGTTGTGCTGCCCATCAAATTGCAGAAGAGCCTGGGACCACCAGAATGCTGGTACCTCTGCCAAAACACAAGCAATATTCATCTTGTGTGTCACGTAGCAAAGTCAGCCTCTAAGCAAAAAAAAGAGGCAGATCTCGTGCCATTTGCAGGATGAAAGCAAGCATGCTGGTATTTCTCTGAATGGACATACAAGGTATTTAGAGAAAGATTCCCCCCCCCCATCCTCCCCACGCACACGCGCCCGCAGAGAGAGAGAGAGAGAGAGAGAGAGAGAGAGAGAGAGAGAGAGA